AGGCTTGATGGTAGGAAGCAGTCTACGACGAGGGCGGCGAGGCACAGGAACGCCGGCGACACAAAGCCCTGGCTGGGGCCTGTCCTGCTCGGAGTGGGGCTGGGACCAGACGTGATCCCCGAGGCTCCGAGTCTGCTAACGATGGGCATCTGTGGCCTCCCCACCCCGGAGGGGTCTAGACGAGGCTGGACGGCCCCGGGGGATGATCTAGGCACAGCCATGCCCAGGTTCTACCATGGGGGTTTCCGGGCTTCTGCCCCCCTCTCCCCCGCTTTCTGCTCCATGTGTCACGGGGCTTTGAGCTCCCCCCTCCTCCAGAGGCGCTGGGTGCTGCTGCAGCCCAGGCTGGGAATGGGGAGCAGTGCCCAGGCAGACAAGGGGGGAGCTGTAGACTAGGCTGTGCCAATGCTCCTGCTGTCACCAACCCACAGGGTCCTGGCTGCAGGGTCTTGCCCCTGCACTCAGGGTCAGACCAACACCTTATTTGGGGTCAGGAAGGGATTTCCCCCTGCTCAGACTGGTTGGGAAGGGGGGGGGGGGGGGGTTGCCTTCCTCTGTAGCAGCCACACAGCCTCTGCCTGGGTCTCTTAAATGAGTATTGTCAACATTTCATAGAAGCTGGACCCAGGGCTCCAGGGGAGGCCTCCCCGGTGCAGGATAGAGGAATCACTGCCCTTGACTTGGGTGTGCTGAGCTGTGCCCGTGCTTCTGCTGGGACTCAAATCCAGGGGGTCCTGGTTCCGGGGTTTTGCCCCTGTGCACAGGGTCAGACTGACACTGCATTTGAAGTCAGAAAGGACATCTACTCTCTGGTCCACCTGGTACGGACTGGAAGGAGTCGGGGGCAGGCGGGGTGCCTGCCTTCTCCTGTAGCAGAGGCATGGCCACTACCCAGGATCTCTGGAGTGTATATTGACAACACTTCATAGCAGCAGGATGTTGGCTGCTGCAGTTCCCCTGCTTTCCCTGTGGCAGGTTCAGGTGAGATGTCTGTGCTGTGTCAGGGCTGATAGTCAGATGTAGAGTTTAGATGATGGTTTGTCTGGGCTGGTTTGGCCAGAGCTGATCCTGCCTCAGGCAGGGGTTGGACTAGGTGTGACCTGTGGAGCTCCCTTCCAGCCCCAGGTCTCTCTGACTGGTCTCCCTCCTCCTATTTCATAGCCCTGGAGCTTATTTAGCTCTTTTCAATAACCCTAGGTTCACCCATAGAGACCAGCCTTTAGCAGCAGCTAGGGTTTCAGCTTTTGTTAAGCAGGAAAGGAAGGGGGGGGGTCACCTGACATTTAGGATCTGGCATTGCTGTTTGCAGCTGTACTGCTGAAAAAAAACCTTTTCTTTTGCTTTTCAAAAATGAGGGCTTATATTCTGGGATGTGACGTGCAAGAAAGTACAGGAGATCAGACCCTGGAAACTGTGGAGAATTAATATGGGAAGCAAGAGCACACATGGAAAGAGTCTGACCTGTAGGACAGTGGACAGTGTGGGGGGAAGGCAGGGGTCTTGGAGAACTGTCTTTAGCAGCAGCTAGGGTTTCAGCTTTAGTGAAACAGAAAAGGGAGATGGAGTGACCTGAAGCTGAGGGTCTGGCCCTGTTCTGTGCAACCATAACACTGGGAAAATCCTTTTATTTCCCACTTCCTCCTGCCTTTCATAAGCAAGGGGCATCTTGTATTCAGGTGTGTGTTGCATACAAAAAGATATGGTAGATAAAGCTGAGCTTGACTAGGAAGCATCCTTGAGGTGCCCACAGGCTCCAGGAGATGGCAGCCTTGCAGGCCAGACTCTATCTGCTGGCAGATCCTGGCTCCCGTCTTTCCTTTTCCTCTCCTAGCCCAGCCTGCCATTGCCGGCTGCGTCAAGTGCTTGACCTTTTCCTGTTAGCTCCACAGCCACTTCTTGCTATTTATACAGTGCTGCTTTTCCTTTGTTCAATGGCATTTTCTAGCTCATCTTGCTGAACATCTAGGACAGGGATCCATGGGTGAGTCTAGGATTTTGAAAAGCGGAGGGGGGCAGGGTCCAGGTGGTCTGGGTACTCCTGCAAAAAAAAATAAAAATGCAGCAGATCTTTCTCCAGTTAAAAAGAAACTAGGAGCTCCATTAATAAGTAGGGGCCTGGAGCTGTTGTATTTGGTTTAAGTTTGAAAGAACTTTATTGGACTGTGCCTTCATTTGCTGTATCCTCTATTTTATATAAAACCCAGCAAACAAGGGAAAACAAATCCAAAGCCGTTGTCTCGTTTGTCCCAGCATCACAAAAGTGTACCATACATCTCTTTCACATAAAACAAAACCCAGCCTTCCTGAGCACCTAGATGGGACCCCCAGTGCTTCAGTGGGGGTGACTTCCACCCTGAGTTGGTGCTTCCACACCCAAGCTCATGTTTTTAGCTAGTTTTAAAAAGCAGTCGGCCGGGCTATGAAATGGGCACAAAGTGACGAGGAGCAGTGACAAGCAGCAGCATGGCAGACCCAAGGATAGCTGGAGCAGTGGGACCATTACAGACCACTTAAAAGGAGGGAGGGACTTGAACACCTGAGGATGACAAACTTAGACAGGATCAGATAGAAGATAATGAGCCACAGAGTCAAATGACTCCCTCCCTGCTGCCTCCATGGAAGTGCTGCTCCCATAGCCCGGCTGTTGGTTTTAAACGTGGATGAAGCAGGAGTCAAAGAGGGGTCAAGTGCAACAGTGCACCCGCTCTTTCCCACCCCTGCAGGGCTCCAGGCCTAAGGGTCAGTCTCCAGATAAGCATGTTGCACACAACCCACATTCCCAACACCAGGGAATAATGCTGCGGGCCTGAGCCTCATTATCCCCAAGGCCACCCCTTGTTAATTCCAGCCCTGCACTTGCACTTGTTCTTTATGATGGAAAAAATCCAAGAGCGATTCCTCTGTTGCAAAGACCCAGAAAGCCCAGGGGACTGGGCTCTGGGATGAGTGGCTATGCAGACACACTGTAGGTAGCAAAAGGATCTGGATAGACAGGAAAAACAGGCTGAGATCCATCAGGTTGCATTCAAGGAGGACGAGGGCAAAGCCCTGCCTTTGGGAGGCCTGGCTGGGCTGGAGCACTGCAGAGAAGGACCTGGAGGGGGGCAGGGGATTGCAAGTTGGATCGGAGCCAGCCATGTGCCCTGACTGCAGAACAAATCAGCAGCCTCCAGAGGAGAGGCCCCTGAGCAGGAGGGCTGGAAGGGAGCTCCGGAGGGCACAGCTAGTCCTGAGGCAGGATCAGCCCTGTCCAAACCAGCCCAGACAAACCTGGCATCACCTGTGAGCAAAGCTACCGGCAGCCCTGACACAGCACCAGGCATCGGGCCCAGTGGCCCCAGGGAAAACAGTAACGGTGTGGCCAGGCCCTGCCCTACCCCAGCCAGGCACCAGGGAGTGCCACCACCACACCTTGTGGGGCTGCTGGGGCAGGGGGTACCCTAAGGCAAACCCAGGTTGGGTGTGCAGGGGCCTTATTCCCCCTGGGGGGACAAGTGCACATCCCTGTGTGAGGGGTCTGGCACTGGTGTGAGGGGCCCCAGATGCACCTGGCTCCAGGCTCCATGCCACCCCCAGGCCCCATGACCTCCCTGCAACAGGGGCAGCAGTAGGGCCCTGTGCCCCGCTCTCTTTGCCTGGGAAACGCCTCCCCCACCGAGGGCACTTTGGCACAGCCAGGCCTTGTCTGTGCTGAGCCTGGTGGGGAGGGTGTGGTGCTGGCTGCAGAGACTGGGTTGGCTTGGGAGGGGTCTCAGCCTGCCCCATCTGTCCAGGGTGCTGGGTGCATTCCCCCCACCCCATGACACACAGCCAGGCTAGGGCTAGAAGCCATGTCCCCCACCCCCCTGAGCCCTGGATGCTCCCTCTTGCCCCCCAAGTAGGACAGCTTCACCCAGGGGGCTGGGACCCCAATGCTCTCAGTCACAGCCAGGGAGAGTGGAGAGTTCAGGTGCTGAGCAGCTGTATCTGCCCTGAACGGAGCTGGGGGAGCATTTTGGGGCCCCTGGGCAGGGGGTGTCTGAATCTCCCAAAGTGGGCCTGTCTCTGCAGCCAAGGGGCTCAGTGCCAGCCATACTGGAAGTTGGGAGGGGGTGGGGGGCAGAGAGATCAGGGGCAGTGAATGCTAAGTATGCGCTCCTCCCATCGTGCCCCCAGTGCCAGCGGCTCAGCTGAATTTGCCACATAGCACGGATCCCCACTGGGGCCAGATCCTGCTGCAATGCTAGCGGTGTTGCAGGTCCAGAGTGAGGGACACCAGCAAGTCTGGAATGAGGGGCCAGGCCTGCCCTTGTTTCCCAGGCCCTATGTCCCACCACACCCAGCTCCTGGTCCCACATCCAGACGCTTCCTTGAGGGCTTCCTGCGCATGCCCCCCCTCTCCCCCCAGCTCCTTGAGGCAGGAAGGTTTGCCTCATCCTGCTTGACGTCACGGGAGTCCCGGCCGGGGCTGATTCACCCTGGCAGCCGCAGCGCCCGCCCCAGCCATGCGGGGCACAGTAAATATAGCTCCAAGGGCGCCACAGCCGCCCAGCCCTTGAGGTCAGCAGGCCAGGAGCCTCCTTCCCCGTGGGCCCAGACATGAGACAGGGCCTGGCC